CTCTCTCGTAACAGCAAGCGCTAGTCCGTCCGTTCAGGTAATTAATGATCGCTAATTACCGGACATCTGGTGCTGGAAGGGATCCTTATTTACGACAGGAAGATAGACGTCCATCTAGAGAAAGAAACGAAAAAGGAAATCATACGAAATCGCTAACGAGCTCTATTGTGGGGCACGTGCCGCTGTCCGCCTACGTTTCTTGAAATGTGACGGATTCTTTTTTCCCTTTTTTTCCCGATCTTGCCAATTTAACGGAAGGAGGGAACTCGATCAAAACCTCCGTGTATTGTCCATTTGTTCGTTACCCTGTCTCTTTCCGGGAATCGTTTTCGACAACTCGCTCAATCTTCGTCTTTCATATCGAACCTCGACACGTGCCTGCAACATCGCATCTAGAAAGGCACCCTGAAACTTTCTGAAACTTCAGCTCTAACGTCCCGTTATCTTGTTAGTATAATAGAATTGTGAAACACAGGGATGGTTTTCCCATCCTATACGTACACTTTATATATTTTTTTAACATTGGGTTATTTTCTATGTTTTTGTACACGGAAAAAATGCTGTTGAATTAAACAAAATCAAGTTGCTTGAATTAAACGATAATGTCACGGGCTGCCGCAAATATAAATAATTTACTCAATTGTATTCGCTATGGATTTTAATTTTAAGCATTGAACTAAATATTCAGATTATCAAGAATCTGATGTTTTCCATTTACTCATGTTGTTTTGACGATTTTATTTCAATTACACTGGTCTTGTTGATGCAACATCATGCTTTTTTCCGTGTATGTTTTCTATAGTCCCTCAAACGGAAAGAAAATTCCGTTCTCTCGTTTATTTTGTCCAGGCATCTAGTTACGTTACCTGCTCGTTATCCTCAAGATCTTGTATCTCAGATCCCTCGCGTGTCCTTCGACTTTTCGATGGTCAACAACCACACTGATTTCATTAAATTTAATTAAACGTTTTTTAAACAATGCATTACAACATGAGTTAAAAGTCTTTAAGTTGGGACCCCCTGGGACATTCTCTTAAGGAGACAACCTCCACACTCCCTTACTAGAGTAACCCTTCGAAATGACTGAACACGTGCTTCGTGGTTTTTGTAATTACGAACAGTTTCCGAAACATAGGGGATGGGAATAGACTTTATAGATACGCTGTATCTGTGTACATATGTGCACATAGAGCATAGTCGTTCTAAACGTTTGCAAATAAACGTTATATATTTCAATATATCGCATGCTGCGGACAAAACATGGTAGCGACAGCTGCTGGTTGTCATGTGTGTAACGCTATATTAATTTGCGTTCGTCCGGTCGTTTCGTCAGCGAAAGGAAGGAACCGAGGAACAACTGGACAAAGGACAGACGCGACGTGAGTAATTAGAGCGAAATTACGGAGGAGCGTCTACGCGCAGTGAGGCATTCTCACGGTATCAAAAAGACATTTTGCAATAGACGCACAAATACACGGTGTCGCGCGACTCGCACGGTCCCCCGAGAGGGAGAAAGTAACCGGCTACGTCGAGGACGGTGTGATGACAAAACCGAAAAATAACGAAGACGCCGCGACGCGTCGGAGGGAAGCGCACGCGAGTCGCTCGTATCCGGGATCCCCCGTGGTAGAGGGGAGACCGCGTCCATGGGGAAACGGAAAGATGGGGTAGCAAGTGCGTGTGCCGGTCACGCGCCCACGTGCAGAACCGGAAAATCGGCGTTTATGCACGGGATGGCCGGAAGAATGCGGTATGACATCGTGCATCGCGGTGTTGCGATTCATTCTGCTTAATCGTACTCAATCCGCACAGCTGATACGGCTTGAGGTAGTCGGAGAAACCGAATAAAATCATCTGTCTCTTCTGTCCTTTAATTTTAAATCCACATCATAGAGTATAGACCGTATCAAACCGGCGAACGACTGCAAGTATTATTTCTACACAAAAATAACAATTAGGCAATGAAAGTATAACACGGTTATTGTCGCGTGAGTCATATAGTTAACTGTATTCAATTATGATTACAGTTCGTGAAACAAATTGATAACGGTAGTAATGCACGTTTCGACTCCCAATTGAAGTCATCTTCAGCATGTTAAATATTCAAGAGTCAACTCTCACGATTTTAATTGAGCCAACCGAGGAGCGCTTTTAAATGTTTCGGTCAAAAAGCAGAGAGGAAATTTGCTTTATTTATTAGTTTGTTAGACAAACAGCATTTGATAGTGTTCACTTATATCCGTTTCAAATTATTAACGTAAAAAGTGTTAGAAGTTTTAATCTCTGCCTCTTTCTGGAATGGATTTCCATGCTTAGGATTGCGATTATTTAATCTCTCCTCTAGTGTACTGTTTTCTTAATAGAAAGTATGTAAAAAGTCATTATTAACAATACATCGCATTTAAAAGTTTTTTCTTTTTTTACGAACATTATTTTTTATTTACAATAGCTCTTTATTTACAAGATCATATTATTTCGTACAATTAATATTACAATTATTCGCATCATACAATGAATTTATATAGTTGTTTAATATACATAACCTTTCTTATTTTCGTTGAAATCTTTGACCGATTATACGACAAATTTTCGAACGCGACTTATTCAATCTTTACAATGTTCTTTCCGCTCCAGATCTTTGGCGTTTTTTACTTAAAAAAGAAACGGCTAAAGTTGATAATTGTAATCTTGACTAGATACGATAGTAATTACAAATTCACAATGACAATTCAATTTTATGATTCGTTAAAGAACAGCGTCAATTTTAAGTCCAAGTCCATTTCCGCTGACTAAGGGAAAAATAATATACAATGATAATAAGTACTTTAATTTTCTTGGAAACAGTTGAAAAATCAAATCTCAGCTTTTGCTAAAAAAGATAATAATATATATTATCTGTCTTACAAATAAACATAAAGTTTATTTTAAAAACTATCACACACACATGCAAACGTATAAGCATACGCACATTGGAGCTTCTTTTGCTACTGTCGCGCTTAGTCTTTGGATCTTTAGCTGTGTTTATCTTCTTCTTATACTAACGTACATAAAAAATACAGCGATACGCATGTTCACTATTGCATTTGCGATGCACACTCAAGTGAAGAAAGATTAGTTAACGCTACTATCGATATCGCAATTAAAAATAAAAATATATTAAAAAGATTTCAAATTAGAATATACAAAATATATATTTTATAAAATTATCAGTGTCATATACGTATTAAAATTGTAAATAATTTATTGCCATTTAAAACCATTCTTCGCACAATAGTAATAGAAACAATTGTTGGCAAAAATGCTTAATTATTCTAAGGACATTTGGTTTTATTCGGGTGTGTAATTATTTAGATGAAATTATAACATTGAGAAGGCCTTTCTGTTACTGTCTGTGCAGTTCAGTCTTTACATATAAAATGTACAACAATCACTATAATAAATATCTTGTTACGCTTTAAAAATGTACTGAAATATTATCTGTGCGTTCTGCTATTTAGTTTACATCTTAAATCATACGTCTAAGATTATACGGTAAATTAAGTTTGACTAACAATCATTCGTCCTATTTTCAATTTATTTTACTCATAATACATTAGTATTGCAGTTCCAACACTTTCATTAGGCTATAATGATTGACTTCTCAACATACTAAATTCAAGAGTTCAGAGGTTTAAGTCACTCATTAATGATTCAACTCACTTATTAATCCTTTGTTGCACATTTTTTTCTAATGAATATTATCTTGTGAAACTTGTTACTAGGGAGTTTTTGGGGTCGCTGTGTAAGAATCTGATGTAAAAAATGCAAAATTAAAATGGTGGACTCTATATGGTGGATAAAATTTAAAAATCAACCGAAATTGCATGAAACTGGTTACTCGGGGGGTTTTTGGATCACTGATTACAAATCCAATATCAAAAATTCAAAATGGCAGTTCCGATATGGCGGAGAAATTTTCAAACTTAACCGGATTCGCTTCAAACTTGTCACTTGGGAGTTTTTGGTATTAGTGATTCTCGTTTCGAATTTTGTATTTTTTTTTTACATGGAATCAGCGACCTCGAGAAACTCTAAATAGCAAGTTGAAAGTGAATCTGGTCAATTTTGATAATTTTGTCCGCTATATTGGGTCCGCCATTTAAAATTTTGTATTTTTGACATCGGATTCGTCGATCTTGAAAACCCTCAAACCATGATTTTGAAATATAAGTTATAGGACAAAATTGTATGTAAACGAATTAATTCTCTAAAAATTACATTTTTTCGGTATATATTTATTAACAACTACCCTAGTAGCACAATATAATGACGCAATATTGGGAAATAATTTAAATCTAGTATTCCCAATATTGGTCCAATATTGTAAGATGGACGCTTACTCTTATTTAACCAATATATCTATATTTAGCAATATTGGTTTAATATTGTATCAATATTAGACCAATATTCTAATGATATTGTTGAACATTGGCCGAGTGCACTTTCAATATAAATCTAATATCATATAATTATTATCGTGCAATATTTACATTTATTTCACGGCCAATATTGGCTTTGGACAATATCAGCCAATGCATTTCTAATATGACCAACATTCGACCAGTGTTTAGCCCACGCAGTGTGCTACTAGGGTAATTATTTATTTAAGATAAAGCTCTAAAAGTTGATTTATTAGTTAGAGGAACCTTTCAGCGGTCCGGCAATACTAAACATGCTAAAGGAATACGTGAAAAATTTGATTGATTGAAAAAAGAAACTTGGACGATAGGTAATGCCATCAGAGTAACACTATGCAGCAAAGGGTTAAAGCTTGAGAAAAGTAATTTCGTCGAAATCATTGAAACTGTATTTAGATGAATTCTTCTAAAAAGGAATTGCGATTAAAGGCCATTGTTACACCGCAGGATTTACCGTATCCGGTGATCAGGTGACTGCGTCTCGAAAGAAACGGTGCCAGGGCAAAGAATGAATTGTGTGCACATATACTACTTGCTTTTATCGGGATCTATCTCTTGCTGTCGTGTCTCTGTAGAAGATCGCACAGGGCGGCTATGTAGCTCTGTGCCATCTGCAGGGTCTCGAACTTGCTGAGTTTGTGATCAGTACCGAGGCTCGGCACGACCTCGCGCAGCTTGTCGAAGGCGTCGTTCAGGCCGTTCATGCGACGTCGTTCGCGCGCGTTCGCAGCGAGGCGTCGACGCTTCAGCACCGTCGGCGACGGTGGCACGTCGCGGGATCTCCGCCTGCCCTTCCGCGGACTCACAGGCGGCGTCGTCGACATTCTCTGGAAACAAAGAGAGAGAAACAAGACTGTTTAATCGGAGACGAATCCTCGTAATTGACGCGCGCTTTTAATTATTATGATCAATTATTGGCAACTGAGTTAAATATATGTTGTCTACTTTGTCAAAATTTAATTACCAGTTAAAATATTGACTAACAATTACGTAGCGTCAATATTACAGTTTCCTACTTAACAATGTAACTGCTACGTACAATATGTTTTGTACATATTACATTTGTTATTGTGGGAAATTATAATATCAATGTTATGTACCCGTTGGTGCGTTTACTGGGTAGTTTCATTCGCTCAGTCGAGCTATTAAATTAAAATTTTTAACGAGCGAGTCGATCGTATAATAGTTACCTGCGTCGAGATGATGGGCTCCCAACAATTGGTGCGAGGCTCGACAATCGTGAGGATCGGCTTGCCGTTCTCCAGGGGTTGATATCTCGGTTCCTGAGGAGGCGTCTCGTAGCAGTACGACGGCGGCTGGTAGTCGACCGAGCTTTCCTCGTACAACGTCGAGCGCGGTGATGCGGTCTGATCCATCGAATGCGGCTGCTCGTATCTGTAAAGTCACAAGGATGACGTACCCCGCAGCAAGACCCTCTCTATAAGACTTTCGGTGAGATCCTAAGCACCTTACGTTTACCTTTGCGGTGTGACGGGCGTCAGGACCCCGTAGGGTCCTCGGTCGTATCCCTCCGGGGTCTTTGTGTACTCCAACACCATGTCCTTGGCGTAATCCAACGTCTCGGCGTCTCTCCGCGGCGTGCAGAGCTCACTCTCGTGCGCACAATTGTCTCGATACGTGATCCTCGTGGGCTCGTAGCTCGGGGAGTTGTACGGCGACGGATACAGGGGGTCGTAGCTCCTCGACGAATTCGGGTATGCGGGTGTTAACATGTCGGATTGTGTGTTCTGATAATTGCAGTGATGGTTCGATAGCAGGGCCATGATCCGGATTAGGAAAGATTCCCCGCGTCACTTGGCACAACGAGAATATACCTCTATGAGTAACACGCGCGGTGCCTCATCAGAGTTGCGTTTCATAAGGTGAAGTGTAGCCGATTCTCTTTTCGGGAGGGCGAGTTTCTTGTACAAGCGAAACGTTCACATCGCTGTGACTTTCGTCAGGTCTTCTCGACGTTCACGCAGAGGAAGGAATTGGTGCACAGAGTTCGTCGGCGTTGATTCGTGTTCCATTGAGTTCGCCAGCGTGGCTAAGCGGTCCTTGGGCGATTTATTCTTACGATGCTAATACTTAATACACACCGCGTTAAACAATTCCATTGCGTCTAACTAAATATATATCCGATCTAATACTGCGAGATAAACTCTTTGTGCGTGTATCATTTGACACATCACCGACGAGAAATCAAGCTGATTGAATCCTTGCGCGAACTTCACCGATAGTGTCCCAGCTCATCGCGTTGCTTGTACCAAATGTCTTTTACGCGTGGGCGATGAGTCCAAGAGAGGATCATCGAAACCGAACTGTCAGCCGTTCGATCAGGTCGGCGGGAGGACGTCAAGGTGGACACCACAGTCCCGATCCTCGCGGTGTAAAGGCTCGAGTTTGAGTGCGCCTGGCGCGTGCCAGAGCGCCCGTCAGCAGATCAACATATGGTTCCCACCTTGTTTTCTGCCTATCCCTATGGGCGATACGTACACCTGGCAGCGGCTCATTCGGGCTCCTTCTGTATCTACCCCTCTTCTCTTTGGGTTCTTCGACATCCGCTCCGCAGGCACGCCCGCGCCGCGAGTCAATGCTACCTCCGCGACCCACCGAGAAGTGGCCGGCGGCCTGAAAGAAACGATCGCGAATGTTTCTTGCGAGGAAAGAGTTCGCTTTTATATTATAATCGGCGAGAGTCTGAAAACAAGCCTGTGGAATGAAAGTATGTAAAGTGATTGAGGTAGCAAAGCAAGATAATGTAAGACAAAATAAGATAATATGAGATGAGATAAGGCAAAGTAAAGCAGATAAGTTGAGTAGATGTTATGCATACGCGGAAAGAATTTTCTCTTAATATTTACCCCGACAATCGCGTAATCGTGGGACAATCTAGCATTGTGGAGAACCTTATGAGAGTTTTGGAGAATTTTACCATACATTTTACTAGTAATTATACTTAGTACACATTTTATTAGTAAAATGTATGATAAAATTCCAGGAAACTCTCATAAAATTCTTCGAAATGTCGCGTTGTCCCACGATTACATGATTTACAGGATAAATTTTCAGAGAAAATGCTCTCCGTGTAGGATTTTAAAGAATAGGTTTATGTAAGAAAGAAGAATGGAAGGCTGAGCGTGTATTAAGATTTTGAATTGTTAACCAAGTCGCATTGCCTGGCTGCGAGAAACGAGCAAAGATTATTATATATCTAATGTCTTATAATCACGAAGTGATAAACAAGAAATTCGAAGATTGAGTATTATTTCTATATGATATTCTCCTGATGAGAAATCGTTAATTTGATGGAAGCCAAATTTTGTCTACGCTGATTTCTTGAGCGCTGTTATGAATTAATTCGAGACTTACGCGGATAACGAGCCCATTACAATATCGCGGTAATGCTTCTGAACTTTGCGGCGCTGATCAGATGACGAACTAACCGCGGCGGCGGTGGCGGTGACGTGCGGAAATTAATTTCCAATTTCCGATTTCCCGTCTTTCTTCCTGCTTGGCGCTCGGATCATCACGACGACCGACGGCGGAACGACAGATGCTTTCACAATAGAAACCGCTCCACGTGCAATAACTGTATACGCCATATTATATCGCCGCATTCTTGTATAGGTAGTATCAAAAGAACAACGAAGACGTAACGCGACGGGAAGAGGAAACCGAGCACTTATGATCCTTGCGAGTGCGGTTTCCCGTCGTCTATAATTCGAAAGTGAGATAAAGGCGCGCAATTAGCAGTTTGAAACTCGATTGTGGAACAAAGGCTGACATTTTTTTTTCCAAATGTCGCATTTAAATTAGATGTTTCATAAATTTACTCTGATATGTGTGAATTTTGTTTTCTCATTTTAACGAAATAATAATTCCGCGCTGTTTTATAGAGAGATTAACTTCGTAGAGATTAACCTCGCAAAATCTTGATATCAATGCTTAAAAAAATCTAATATTTTCACAAATTTCATAAATTATCTGCGAGACTCATTTGCCTGGATGAATGATTTGCGTCCTCTTAGCAAAAAGTATTGAGTCAAAATATAATCCTAAAACAGTTAAATTATGTCTCATTAAAAGTGTTAAATGGTATCATCCTAACTTTCTCGAAATGATTACAGAGAGAATTTTCTTTTAAACTTTACTTTAAAAATCATGTAATCGTGGGACGACATGGCATTTTGAAGAACTTTATGAGAGTTTTTTAAATTGTTACCGTACACACATTTTACTAATAATTATACTTATTGTTAGTATACATTTTACTAGAATTAAGCTAGAATTAAGACACTCAGTTACCTTAAGTTCAGTCAGGCCTGTGCGCAATTAAGCGATAAAAATCATAGGTTGAGTCGTGATATTAAAAATGTTAAGCACTAAGATAACGTATGTGCGTTGTCTGCGAAGGCCGGGAAATGACTGTCAAAACTGTAGGTATAAAACTTCTAGGTCAACTTCGGAGAAGGAGAGAAAAATTTATAAACATATACGTAAATAACTCAAGTCAACTAGTTAATAACAGGACCGTACACAGGATTAAGATTCTCGGTGTCCTTTTTTAAATTGGTAGTATTAGTAATTTGATGTGTAACATTTCGGCGATTTCTCTCTTTCTCGTGTGTCTCTCACAATGCATGACGTCCGGTGCTGACCAATCGAAATCGTGTCCACGTGATATTCGGCGTTTGCTAATGACTGAGTGGTTGTTCTCATCTTTTTTAATATTATTGCAATGTTCTTTGACTCTAGTTTCCAGATGTCGTTTGGTCTGACCGATATAGGTTGCATCGCAGTTATTACTAAGTTACTAAGTTTATTATTACTATTTAAGTCCTACCATACAATTATGAACATCGGAAATAATCGAAGCTTAAATGATCGCGAACTATGTCAAACAGCGTCTCCAAATTTCCAAATCATAATCTGATTAATTTTTTGCTATAATCAAAATATGACTTTTGATATTCATTAGTCATGGTATCATTTTGATGCCACTTTGACTTCATCGCGACTTCTTGTTCTGTGTGAAATTTCATTTGTCAAAAGTTGAAGCAATAAGAATGCCCGTCAGCTCAACCTTAATCTTTCACGATTTTCGAGATAGCATCGTTGAAATGATTCGAACAATGTTCCACGCCAATATTGATCAGCATCGATTTATGACCGATTCAAGGACACTGTGGAGGAATCGTACGCGCCAATGAAGGTTGATGCGAATGCCGACAGAAGGAGAAGGGAGGGAAGGCAGTAAAATACAACGGTCGCGTGCTACTATACCGCTGCGGACCCCTTCGCCTTAAGACAATTAGCGATATCCATCTCCCGCGGGGTTCTCCGTTCTACCCCTCGTACGGAACGGAACGGAACGGCGGGCCCAGGCTCGGCGCGCGTGGCATTCGTCTACGAGCGTATAACGAGAGGTGCCCGCAAGGTGTCGGCTAGCCGAGGGCGGGAGATCTCGGGATAAAGACACGCGCGGCGCCGGAAGCCATCAAGAGAGATTGCGCCCGAACCGAAATTCCCGCATTTCGGTGCCCTACCGTAACGTTGAGACGCGTTAATGTTGTCAACAGTGCCGGGACTTTAAAAGACACGGGACGCTAAATCTGCGACGCGACGAGACTTTACAGTGATCCTCGGAGCAATAAAACACTTTTTCTCCGAAGTATTAAATACAAAAATGAACAGTGGTTTGACAACATATTCATAATCTTAATTATTAAAATATAAATTATTCAGACTATGTAAAATAGAAATGTGAAGATTGGTTAAACGTTAATCCAAAATTTGTGTGCTCGCGATGGAATACTGAAATTCGAGAAAATTGGATATTACTTTTATCGAAAAACGTCGTGTGGCTGTCTCTCGAGTTTTCCTCCTCGCGAATGGAATAAAAGCAAGTGACGTTGGGTGAAAGCTAATTCTATCTCTCTCGTGAAGCGATGCCGTTGATAACGGACTTTTAATAACCTTGTACTAAGAATCGCGATATAATATGGGGGGAAGGCGTAAGGTGTTGGTGACTGAAGGCGGGAGATCCAGTGATAAAGGAGTCGAGGAGACGGAAACTCGAAGGTGCACCCGGGAGGAACGACACCTTGCGCAACCGGGTGAGCAAAGTAGTTTAATCGATACCGCCGAGTGGACATTTAAACATATTCGATGTAAACAACCGCGCCTTGTTAATATCTGATTTCGATATTAACCAGAGTTGTAAACCGAACCGAACCATTGAAGTGTATCCGCTCCGAGAGAACGGATCAAAATTTCAATTATAAAATCGTTCCGATCCGGAGCGAACCATTTTTGATTATGATTTCAAACGCTCCGGTTTCGAACCGGAGCATGAAAAACCGGTTTTGGAGCGGTTTCTTTATCTAAAAAGGATTTCATTTATTTAAAAAGATTTACCACGTTTGAATCTTTGCTACATAGCTGGAAAGGTGGTAAATGTGCAAATTTCACCAGTTCGGTTCGATTTGCATTCCAAGTTCTAAATAATTTACTTCATTCATTCGGTTTTCGGGGCGGTTTTTAAACTCGAACCGGCTTAAAACCGCTCCAAAGAACGTATTTATGCTCCGGTTTACAATCTTATTCGCTCCGGTTCGGTTTACATCCCAAGTTCCAAATAATTTACTCCGTAAATTCATCCGGTTTTCGGAGCGGTTTTTAAATTCGAACCGGTTCAAAACCGCTCCAAAGAACGTATTTTTGCTCCGGTTTACAACCCTGATATTAACCCTTTCGCTGCGGAGAATTTTGGCGCAAAACGCGCACTGTGAGAGACTATCAATGCTGCGGACGGCCATACAACTTTCTCTGAGCGCAAACTCTTTATAGAAATCGTTGAAACTGTTGCTCAATTGTTTTACAATTATTAACAATATTTAGTTGCTGAGCAGTCGTTGATAAAATAAGCGTCTACTGTTCGTAACATCAGTACGGGAATTCTGTAACTTGCTATCGAGGTTTTTCGATAACGTTAACTAGGAACAACCAATGAAAATCTGCGTCCTCGCCATTGGCTGTCGCTAGTTAACGATACCGAAAAGCATCGATTGCAAGTTACAGAATTCCCGTACAGATGTGCGCTTGTAGTCGTCAATAGCGTAGGACGATCGGACTTATCGTTAGTTCGACTATAGATTTTAACAAGAATGAAAAGATTAAACTATTTAATTAAACGATTTTCAAGTTGCTTCTCTGGCTTCTCCGCGTCGCAACAACTTACTGCCCTTTCTGTTCACTTTGCAATGAATTGGCAATAGTGTGCCGAGTAAAAATAGAATACAAATGAAAAGACGTTAATACTGGCAAATGTTAAAGAGTTATATTAGCAAATATGCTCTACAGCGACATTCTTTTTATTCTGGATAAGTTTCACCGCGGTCATGATTGAACGTACCCTCGTCATATAATGATTAACTTTTCGTCAGCTCGTATTCTATTCCACATCCAATTAGAAACTCCACTCGAGGGACGGCGCGTGTGACGAGCCTATGATAGATCGACTATTGCTGTTTGCAGTTTCGAGCGGCACTCTGCTGCTCTCGGAAACGAATCCGAAACGTATCCGAGAGCCATATGCCATATGGCGTCGCAAAGCGAAATCCTTGCCGCATCCTCTAGAGTCTCTTTTATAACGCACAAACTTATAATAAATATACGTTTCAAGGCACGTTTCAGGAACATAAAATGTATGCGTTTAACATATTAACATCGAAAGAACGTAATATATTTACCTAACAATCATTAGGCACATAACTTCATTCAGTGTAACGAAAAAATATCTCAATCTCTGCATACATGTGCGCGATAAACAATTATATCTCCAAGTTGCAACATTCCATATACGTGATGAGCCTTTAAGACAATTCTACTAATTAGACGATCACTTTCCGAACGTCTTTGCAAGAGAGTTAGAAGATTTCAGGGTTAAAAGGTGGTAAAAAAATATCGTGAAATGCGCGATGTTAGAAATTTGGATAGTACGTCTTTTCGCTTGTATTCTATTTTTACTCGGCACTCTATTGCTAATTCATTGCAAAACAAATAGACAGGGCAGTAAGTCGTTGCGACGTGGAGAGGCCAGAAAAGCGGCTTGAAAATTCATACCTTCAAAATGACCGATAATACAAAGCAAATTGCATTCTGCATTACGATGTCGCTTTGCAACGGACATCAAACCGCGGAATTAGGTATATACCTTTCAGCAATCATTCAGCGTCGGCTATAAGTGTCTAATAGGAACAATTGCTTCAAGAGTCGTGTTACACAAAGAATTGTTAATATTGCGAGGCACGACTACGCGGTAAGGATCGGAAAGACCCGTGATGCCCTTAGTACTCTCCTAACATAAGCAAAATGGATTTCTTCGACGGGCACAACTACAGAGTCAACAAAATTCTGCTATTAGCAATCGGCCAATGGCCTTACCAATCGTCCAGGACGAGCCACGCAATAGTCTTCGTCATAGTAACTATAGTTTGCTCGCAATTTCTCACCAAGGTACGGCGACGACTAATGTTCCATCGCGTTGCTTCGGAGAAATAAATTCATAAGCTCCACGCTCGTCTTCCGAATAGGTGGCTCCTGCACGAAGGAGCGATTAGTATGGGTGCTTTGGTGGGGCCCTTTTAACTTTTATAAATTCATATATGGCTTTTTACATAAAACAATATCACCAATAATGCATTATTGGTCAAATGCATTGATATGCTAGGTTATATATGCACATTTGAAAACATATTTACAAATATATGATATTGTCAATTCTCGAAGAGCTGTCAAATTTCCTCAAAACATTTCCAGCAAACACAGAACGTTGCAGCAACGTTGCGACGATGTTGTAACGTTGCTGCGATATTCTGTCTTTGCTGGATTGTATCTTTTGACTTTATTAATAATAATTTTATTTCATCGGCGACCGGGTCTGAAATTTCGCGTACTGATAGATAAAATTTACAACTACAACATACTTAAATTTCAATCTTTTCTACTTTCGGTCAGTTTATGCAGGATCCACCTTAAAACGACGAGATAAATTTCTTTTTTTTAAATAACTACGACATTAATTAATTCAAGCTATGTGGTATGTTCTCCTACATTCACGATATGGACATCGTGATCGAGTGTCTCGTTCCGATAATGGTTGATGTATCAGGTATGACGAAAATAATGAATTCCATACTGTGCGTGAATGAGGTACGTGCGGTCATTTCCTTTACGATGTATCTCAGAGTAATTAGCTTCATTCTACCTGGCGTGATAAAAATGTTTCTCCGCTCGCGAGTTTCAATTCACGAAGTGTCTCGCCGCACATTTGCTATAACTTGAATAAAACGTAAAATCGTAACTTAAATAATTTATGCGAATACATTTATAGATAAGAGTATTACTCGATCGAATACGGGATGACTTTTATTCGTTGAAAAATTCCAACGACATAAAGATTCTTCAAAAATACGCGAACAGTGGTAAAAACTCCTCGACCACTTACGTCTGTGAGTATCGTAAAGCCTAGTAAGGACGAATCTTTCTCTCCTATTTAATTAATTTATTCTTCTCTATGTACCTTTAAATAACGCCTTTCTTTAGGCGTGATATACACGCTAACGGTTGTATTTATGTTGATGCCCTTCCAACCGTTGATCCTTCGAGTCGCCAACGCTACCACTCGGCCTATGTTGCACAGAGTCGAGTATTACGTCGACATGGACAAGTATTATTTCCCAATTTTGATTCACGGATACTTCACCGCTGTAATTTGCGTTACGTCCATCGTCGCAACTGATGCGATGTTTGTCATATTTGTGCAACACGCTTGCGGGCTGTTTATTATAACTGGGTGAGTAATCTCGGGGAAAGAGCTGACGGGAGGGTCCTTTTCCTTTACAATTCTATGTCGTTATCCTTGAAGCTCGCGAATAGAACAAGCGATACAGAAGACAAACCTTACCGGAGATGCAGATCCCCCAATTACGAAAGATACGGCGTATCGAAATATGATACAATGCGTTCACGACCACAGAGCAGCTATAAGGTTTGTTTCGTCTTACACCCCGATTGCAGAGATACCTAAACACTCTCTGCTTGTTTTGAAATCAAAATGGCAATACGTACAGTCTGGCTCGAGTACAGGTTTTAATTGTCTAATTTGGCGCGACATGTTCATTTTTATTGAAAATATATTCCAATTAAGGTTTGCCAATCGCATGGAAGTGGTGTACTCCAAGCACTTTTTGTTCCATGCCGGGCTGAATATGATAGCTATGAGTGTTACGGGCGTTGGGGTATGTGAGTTTTGCAGTATTTATAATTATTATTATATGTTAACGTGGTAGCACCGAGAATTGTCAACTGATTTAGTAATGCACCGACGGACGAATGATCGTAGATAAGTAGTTTCGTGAATTTGTTGATTCATTCATATCTTACACTGATTTACACGAAGGAAATACAGATAGGCATTTTTAATTATTGCACTTACCCAAGCAGAAAAAGTCAAAATGACATCATACTGACTGGCAAGAGTTAGATTTTAATCATGACAAAAAATTGATCAACTTATGAATTCGAAATTTAAAGATAATGTTTGATTCAGTTTGCGACAATTTCATCTTATTGTCAGACTATTTCTGATACTTATAATAATTGTATGTTAGAATTTTTTAATATAATAATAAGTAATGAATAGTAATGGATACAAATTGTTTTTTTAACAAAAATAATACTATTATGATAAGAATATGATTTGTACAATAAAGTGCAATATTCAATATTTTGTAAGATTTGCATTTTTGAACTTTTATTTTGTATTTGGTGAACGAAAAATCTGGATATCGATGCTTAAAAATCAAGTATTTTCACAAATTTGCAAAATATAATAACATCAGCGAGATATGTAATTATTTTGCATAAGTTATTTGTTCTCTCGGCGAAAGCTATAAAAAAATATAGTCATAAAAAGTGAAATTATGTGTCATTAAAAGTATTTAAATAATTATCTTGATTTTATAGAAACGATTGCTTTTTGATGTCTTGAATTTGAAATAAATTATGTTTTAAAATATTAAATGATTTCACTTTGACTTTCCAGAAATAATTGCTTTTTAATATCATTTTGACTTTTAAGTAATTTTTGTGATGCTTGGGAATAACAACGTATTATTACTGCATTTGTTATACAGGGTTATACAGGGTGTACTAAAACCACCGGATATCCTTTTAATCATAAATTCTTTAGAAACTTTCAAGACAAAAATTCTAATAAAAAAATGTCGAGGCTATAATAATTTTTAAATAATAAGCGATTACATTTCACAAATGACAGGCCTGAGATTTCGCGCGCTCAGGTACGGCGACACGACAAGTGATAAAAATGTTCCTACGAATATCGCCCTTTTTAGCATAGTGACAACTTTCACAACAGACTTAACGATTCATTCTCGAATTAATTGTTCCTCTTGTTATCTTTAACCATTTCTTTTGTTAACTTTGTGTAACGTCTTATTAATAAAAGGGAGTGGTTCACTATGATGAGCATTTTGATCAGACTGATATCCTTCGATTTAGTCGATCTCCGATATTCTGAGTGAACTTGGAATTTTCAGATTCAGAATTCATAGATTCAATCAAGTTTCCTGCCTCTCTTTATCCTCAAGTTTTCAAAATAACCGGATCATCGTCTTCCCAAATATTTTCTGTCCCGTTAAACGGTGACTTTGGTTCTCGCTCGCTCGCGAAACACATAGGAACACTTTTATCACTCGTCATGTCGCCGTGCCTGAGCGCGCGAAATCTCAGATCTGTCATTTGCGAAATATAATCGCTTGTTATTTAAAACTATCGTAGCCTCGACATTTTTTTATTAGAATTTTCCTCTTGAAATTTTCTAAGGAATCTGCGATTAAAAAGATATCCGGTGGTTTTAGTACACCCTGTATATTAGATTGGATGCTCTATAAGTTCTGTAGTGCTACGGCTCTTTAGGTCTTTCTTCTTTTCTCTCTTTTTCTTATGCTCGACAATGCTACATAGCTTATAGAGATACAGCGTTAGAGAGCATTTTTACAGAATATAGCTTTTAAAATATTGTGATTATCCGGCCATTACATTAATGTAATGTCGTTTAGGCTGTGACAAAATCGGACGATCTGTCTGAGCTCCTTAGACTAGTAGCCGTATCGTGTGCATTATTATTTCATCTATGCTTCGAATGTATTAATGCTCAGAGATTGATGGATTACAGTGGATATCTCCATACTAATCTGTACGTATGTTGCGTGTCTTCTTTTTAATAAGCATTAAAAGCAAGATAATATTATTGATGAAAGTATAAGAACGTAAGAATTAATTTAATGGGCCCAATGAACTGTATAAATACATATTTAGAACCAGGTTTGGTAAAAGCGAGTAAGCTCTTGTGAATAATTGCAGAATAAATTTAAACTGGTACGATGCATCGCCCAGAACGAAGAAACTTGTTCTTTTTATGATGATGAAAACGCAGCCTCCTTGTGTATTAACGGCCGGCGGTATGTTCGTTTTGTGCATGGAAACATTCGCCACGGTAAGATAATTTGCTTTGAACTTGTAGGGGGACGGAAAGGATACGTCGACGTATAACGTTTACGCGTGGAAAGAATGTAATTGTGTATATATGTGTATGTATACCTCAACTGAGGCACACGTGATCGAAACAGATCTCTTCGTTGCGTTATCAATTGCAATTGTATTAATTTCATATTTGAATACTGTACTTACAATGTTGTCCGTTCTTCTTCAAGATTGTAAAGACTGCTGTGTCATATTTCACTTTCTTACGCTCGGCGCATTGATGGACACAGCTTTGCGAGTCTTGTGATGTGATCATGATACCAAAAAGCAACAACCATCCACTAGTTAAATCTAGCATCGGTTAGCTAGAAATTTTTATCTGGCATTGAAAACATCCGCTGCAATTGCTAAAATTATATTTTACATCAAAGTTACCAAATGGATGTGAATTGTACAATTAATGTTGATACTATACATTGTAAAAAAGTATGTAAAGTCACATAAATAATAAGTGTAACAGTTACACTATTAATAATGGATATGTACATTCATATACTTTTATATACTTTTATAAAAATTAATTTTCTTACTCTTTTTGTGTAAATAATTATTTATACGTAACAAAGATTATGAAAAATTACAAAATCAATTACAAAAATCAAAACAAGTTGCTTACTTACTATATACACAGTACTGACGACAATTATATCATCTTTATTAGATTTTCTGAACATATAATATTATAACTTTTGTCACAGTGTATCGAATGTGTTCAAAATTTTACAGTAGATACTTGATAACAGGTGCATCTTGTTCATGAAGGGTAATGAAATTTAACAAAACATTTGTCATGTACAGACAAAAATCTTATTGAAAATTTATTTCGAACGAACAGCTTATTCAAATTCCAATATGGCCTAGTCATCGGCTAGTGTCACCAGCTACAGCAAATAAAGCTTCTCCCTTTCTAGGATAAGTCCCAAATAGTGGGAAACTTCAGCAGGGGGGAGGGAGACTCTTTTGGGTACAAATAGGGGCGTAAGACGTCGTAGATCTCCAGTAAGAAATGATTCGTTGAAACGATGTCGAATCGACATCGACACCGTCAAATTGACATCGAATCGACGTCGATCGACGATCATTTCTTGCTGGGTCGTCTTTTATTAGTACCAGTACGAAAATTCTGTAACTTGCTATCGAGGTTTTTCGATAACTGGGAACAACCAATGAAAATCTGCGTCTCTTTCGAAGATCGTCCTCGCCATTGGCTGTCGCTAGTTAGCGATACCGAAAAGCATCGATTGCAAGTTACAGAATTCCCGTACAGTCTTTTGTACCAGTCGGAAGTTCAGATCGGATTGTCGGCAGTTCATCAATAGTTCATTATCAGCAGTACACTGGGCTTTCAATCGACACGCTAACACTTAGAAAATTTCCGACACGTTACTTAGGAAATTCTACGAGTGAATCCCGAGACATTGCGCAATAAAGTAACAAGTAACAATATACCTCATATGCCTTTTTCGCAATAAATTTTCTGCATCGACAGAGAAACTAACAAATGTGGCCGGCTGTGGCCGAATAAAATTTGGAATTTTAGTATTATACTGGCAACTAGGAACTAATCTTAAATGATTGTTATTATAAATTCATACAATCGAGCCCAAATCCCCGGTAAAGCACTTAAATGTGTCGACCGAAAAACGGACGCAACGATAACTCGTGTCAATCCGCGACGCCATGATTTTCGAATTTCTTATTCGTGCACTTTAAAACTAGTTATGCTCAGAAAATCGAAAGGTGATATAATTTTGGCCGCTACTACACACACGCGCGCGCGCACACACATACACACATTCTATAAAGTGGCATTACTTTTAAAAAGTATTTTTGTAATTAAGTAATATATCGAAATGATTAAGCTCATATCAGATTATGTCCAGTTTGAAAGCAACATACGATTTTTGCGATGTATCCTCATCTCTCAAAACATCTCTAACTTCCGCGTGTAGTTAAAAATGTCTCTTTCAGCTTTACACGCAATGCTATCGTGATATCCAGCAAGTACTGGATACAAAAGTATCGTCGTGTAAAGCGACATTTCCCTCGGAAAGTATGAAAAGAAAGTGGAGTAGGCCCTGGAACGCTATATTACAACGGAAGGAAGTGAATTGATGTGAAATTTGCGCCGACTTCTTCCTGTAAAAGGAATGACCGGGGGGGTTTCAAGCGAAACGTTGCGTATGCACTTTTAACTTTCCGCAATGCTCGACACTTAACTCAACCCCTCGCATCGCGCGGTCACGAAAAGGACATCGCGCACGGTGCGTCAAGAATTTATCTCTTTCTTTATAAACCGCCCCGCATGCACGCGTATATCGCGTACCTCGTGCGTGCAACGACATATCGATTTGATTCCTTCCGCGGTGCAATTTTTCACAATTACCCGCCGTCCAAACGGAATGCTTGACGAAGCCCGTGAATTCCTCCCCACGCGTCGCGCTTTCTTTCCGCTTCCTAAGGTTTGGCAAGCGCAGTGCTATACCCGCCGCGAAACCGTCAAGATGGACAGTGTTCAAAGTCAATATATGCGTATCAATCAAATGCTGATGTGCTTCATCGGCCAGTGGCCGTATCAGGAGAATTGGGAAAAATTACTCATCCAATTCGTCTTCGTGCCCGCGGTTTTCTCTCAAGCAGTTATTCAGGTAAACGCATCTTTAAATCCCCCTTGAACAGCGCGGGAGATAAGTTTTCATAAATTACTCGCGAAACAGTAACACAATCTAATAATTAGCTATGCACAGATTACGTAGAGGAGAGTCCCCTGTTATGAGATATAGGCTCCTAATACGAGATGGCTGAGTTTCTGCTGAATTAATAGGCATCGTCTGTTGGTTCCACCATGAATGTATTGCCCTCGGGGTGAAATCTGTTTGGTGGAAAATTGATTGTGAGATCGTGTAATCGTTGCGAAAAAAGATTTGTCATTGAATTTGGACGCTGAAAGCCTGCTGTCTCGCATTGGACTCCTATCTCATAATAGAGGACTTTCCCCTATATAAGATCAACGATAACCGAGATGAAAAATAACGACTGTTAAGTTAAAAACAAATAATATGTTATCAAGATAACAATACTTACTATTCTCAATTTTTAAGGAATTATTAACAGCTGTCCGTACGACAATATAAGATTATACATTTCTTAACAAGTCCGAAATCTGAAAGATACATGTGTTATATTTTGCAGGCTCGTGCTTTTGTTTTTCGGAATCGATTAATTTTTATGATACTTAAAATTAGACGTAGCCACAGGTACACTTTGAGAAATTTTGCAGGGTGGTGGCATGCTCACTGCTTGGTTCGCGGACGACATTGACGCGTTTATGGAGAGTTCCTCGCCTTTTGTAATTAGTTTAATGTGCATCTGTAAACATATTAATTATACGTACAACCATGACCAGGTATGCCTCTCCTCGTGAATGCAAGAACAATGGCTTTGCTGACACTAATCGTAATTATTTGTCATACTGAACGTAGATGAAGAGGCTTGCCTTTACAATGGCGAAAGATTGGAATATCTATTCTAAGCTCAGCCACGAGTATGACATTCTTTGTAGGAATTACGCGACGGGTAGGAAAGTCACGATTGCTTACGCAGGTAAAAGACGTATTGAAAGTTTAAAGATTTCCATCCAAAATTCCGCGATTGAATTTACATTGATTTTACGATTAAGAATACATAAGTATAAAAATCGTATAAATTAAACATGTAATACATATACTTGATTTATATAAAATGTGTAATATCTAAAAATACATACATTACGTTATAATTAAATATACCATACAAAATATGTTTTTCAAAATGAAGCTCAAATGTCTCGCGAAAATTCAAAGGCGAACAGTTAATGTTAGGCTCAACTTTTCATTGATGTATTATTTATAGTCTCTCTATATGGCTCGATGACTCCCTTTTTGGTTGTACCCGTGGTAATAAACACAGCCAGCTACATGGGGCTGTACAACATTTCCGATAAGCCTCTGATGTTTCGCACGGAATACTTCATAGACTCGGAAAAGTATTACTACCCGTTGCTGGTGCACTCGTACATCGGCACCCTCGGATTCGTCACGATCGTCGTGGCGATCGACTCGATGTTGGTGTTTCACGTTCAGCATGAATGTGGAATGTGCGAGATCCTAGGGTAACTCCGCAATAATGGCACTTCGTAAGACTGAACATTTTCATTCAAAACACGTTCTCGTGCGTTTGGTATACTTGCTTATCTCATCACCGTACCATCCCATCTACTGTCATTTTTTTTATACGTTTTATTAATCTTTGATACATAGAAATATGTATATATACATTTTTGTCGTGTGAGTCGATAATTGTGGAACGAGAGAAAACGAGCGACTGTGGAATAAATATTTATCATTGGTCATTAAGTGTCTTATTAATGCGTACGTTACCCGAATTTGTTTCATCCGTACGTCGCGTCTTGAAGGTAGAACATACGATCGCACTAGGTAGAGACGGTGATATTAAATTTAAATATTAATGCTCATCTACACTGCTCGATCGAATTTCAACGTCTTTGGACCCGACGTACGTTTAAGATACGTTTATCAATAAGCATTTTTTAGATACCGGCTAGCACGGATTGTTGAAGGAGATACTTTAGACATAAATTTGTATCAAAGTAAGGAGGCTGCGTCGTACATATATATTAAGAATTGTGTGGTCATGCACAGTCACATAATAGAGTTAGTATCTCCGAATGATTGCATTATATCTGTTGTTGCTAACAATTTTGTGTGCATTATAGCTGTTTTCAATGTAAATTGTGATATTTGACATTTTTATTTATTTTTGTACGTGTACCAGAGGTACTCTATCCAATTCACGTTTACCTGCATTAGACACTTTATTTAATGATTTGATTTCCTTTCTATGTCGACCAGCGTTAGAATATATTTTCTCTGTAATTTCCATTCCGACACATGTATCTCTTTATTAATTCTATTAACTTTTCTCGGACATGAAGATATGCTAAGCGTATCGAGATTGCGAATACGACGTCGTATTTTTTTCAACTAGGTTTCAATATGATGGGTATGACGTTCACAATATTCCAGGTTAGTGCAGGAAACACAAATATTACTGAAAACATACCCGCAACCATGATTATCATCACTGATATACTTTATGTCAATTAAAAATTTTATCTTCTTCATGTTTTCTGTAAGATTAGAAAGTATTTTGTAGAAACACTTGTAATTTTATATATCTATATATATAATATATAGAGGAAAGTTCCATAGGCTGAGATAGGCTCCTAATATGAGACAGCGGGTGTTTCTGTTAAATTAATAAGCACCATCTGTGTTGATTTCACCATGAATTTATTGCCCTTAGCACGAAATTTCATGGAAAATTCATTGTTAGATCGTGTAACCGTTGCGAAAGAAGATTAAGATTGAATTTGGGTGTTGAAAGCCTGCTATCTCATATTAGAAACCTATCTCATAATAAAGGACTTTCCTCTACGTATAATACACACACACACACACACACATTATATGTGTATATTATATACATATATGACAGAATGAATTTATATTTACGAGTCAGGCAGTGGTAAAGTTGGACGATCCAAACGAAGCCTTGCGATACGCGTCGTTCACGGTGTGTCTGTTATCCGTTCTCTTCCTCGAAAGCTGGCCGGGTCAGCAATTATCGGATTATACTGACAAAATTTTCGCGTACACGTAAGTACCTCGAAGCACTTCGCTACGGCTCATAAAGGCGGTTCCTGAAACCGACTAATGTCCATGTCAATAAGACGTTATTCAAGTATTCACATCTGATCTGCACAATCGTTTCATAGACACGCGTTTTGCCAGAAATAATTGTGAATAGATGACGTTTTAACGGAAAAGAAAAATTAATCTGACACATCGGTCTTTCAGAACCAACGGCAGATGGTATCAGTCTTCGCTGAGAGTGAGAAGAGTGATCCACTTTATGCTGTTAAGGAGTTATGTGCCAATCAAGATAACCGCGGGCAAACTGTACACTTTAAACCTGGCAAATTTTTCTTCAGTAAGACAGCTTTTTCGAACGAGATCTAATATCGTGTTGCCACACGAGCTGACATGTCGTCCTTTCTTTTTTAAGGTTGTACGCACGTCGTTTTCTTACTTCACTGTCCTCTGTTCTATGCAATGAGTGAGACTTGCTACAGCTCAAAGCTATTATCGATGACAACAGCTACAAACAACTGTTTTGCCTTTACCACCCTTTTCACGACGACTTATGAGTAACAGTGACGATGATAGATGACTACGGCGACTTGGTAAAACTGATATACTTAAATATTCTAGGCATCATTAAAGTATTCGCGAGAAAAATATTAAAAAACGCCTTGACACAGCAATTGCAATTCTTCCCTAATTTTATTCAACTACATAAAAAATTTCTATGGAAGATACAAAGCTTTATAACGAGATACGTATCTTCTAGTCAATGAGCGAGTTATTAAACCATGAATTAGGCCATTGGCATATCCCTGAAGTTGCTTCTTTACAGTCAAGTTTTTATTGCATGGACCGCAGAATCATTAAATATGAGAAGCCTGTACGCATCGCCTTAAATAAAACTTCACGTTATTAACTGCGGGATTGGCACTTGTCTTATGACATCGTTACTTACCGCGTTAAAAGTCACATAGGACAGTACAAGAACTTTTCCCGCAGTTATTGTCAGCGGTTTCCTACTTCTTATCATGATCATTATCAGGAGCTTTTGCGATATTATAGGCATCTTATACCACTCTAAATTGTACCTGCAAATACAATTATTATAAATCGACACGAAGTAAAAGCGTCAATACAGTCCGAACAGGATTTATGCGAACTTATGCGTATATACAGGGTGTACTAAAACCGCCGGATATCCATTTAATCATAAATTCTTTAGAAACTTTCAAGACAAAAATTCTAACACAAAAATGTCGAGGCTATAATAGTTTTTAAATAATAAGCGATTACATTTCACAAATGACAGGCCTGAGATTTCGCGCGCTCAGGTGCGGCGACACGACAAGTGATATAAAGGTGTTCCTACGAATATCGCCCTTTTTAGCATAGCGACAACTTTGACAACAGACTTAACGATTCATTCTCGAATTAATTGTTCCTCTTGTTATCTTTAACCATTTCTTTTGTTAACTTTGTGTAACGTCTTATTAATAAAAGGGAGGGGTTCACTATGATGAGCATCTTGATCAGACTGATATCCTTCGATTTAGTCGATCTCCGATATTCTGAGTGAACTTGGAATTTTCAGTTAGATTCAATCAAGTCTCCTGCCTCTCTTTATCCTCAAGTTTTCAAAATAACCGGATCATCGTCTTCCCAAATATTTTCTGTCCCGTTAAACGGTGACTTTGGTTCTCGCTCGCTCGCGAAACACATAGGAACACTTTTATCACTCGTCATGCCGCCGTGCCTGAGCGCGCGAAATCTCAGATCTGTCATTTGCGAAATATAATCGCTTGTTATTTAAAAACTATCGTAGCCTCGACATTTTTTTATTAGAATTTTCCTCTTGAAATTTTCTAAGGAATCTGCGATTCAAAGGATATCCTGTGGTTTTAGTACACTCTGTACAGAGGAAAGTCTCCTATTATGGATAGGATCCTATTATGAGATAGTAGGGTTTCTATTAAATTAATAGGCATCATCAGATGATTCCACGAATTCCATGAATTTATTGCCCTCGGAGCGAAATCTGTAGTAGAAAATTCAGTGTTGGATTTGTGATTGACTTTGGGTGTTGAAAATCTGCTATCTCATATTAGAAATCTATCTCATAATATAGAGGACTTTCCTCTTCATATATTCACACATTAAACCACCAGGCTATCCACATCCTGCTCGGACCGTATTGGTGTTTTTACTTCATGTTGATTTATATCATATCGGACCCATTTTAACTCTTTATTACAGTTAGTGTACTCTTTACAAATCTATGCTGAAAATTCCAGATCGTTCGTAATTTCAATAATAATTCGATTTGGCTAAACATTCGTGTTCGAAAGACAAATTGATTTTTTAAGTGAACCACTGGGAAAAAGAGTGAAGTTAAATCAATCCGATTTGTTCGATACGTAAATTCGTACAACGAGAAATTCGTAACTTCTCTTGAGCGTTTTTCAGATATTTGATCAAACGTACGCGGACTCGTACACCCTCTCGTTGCAGTCTATAATTTTCTGACCTTGCCAGTTTTCAAAGAACGTGTTAAGCACAAGCCCGCTCAGATAAGTGCCGTACGGCATGAGACGACTGATGTTTTCCGTATTTGTTACCACCTGAAAAATGTATTATACATACATCGCTGTACTTAAGCTAACCGTCCATAATTCTCGTGTGATTTACCTGGAATCCTACGATACTTAACAGTGACACGTTAACTGTCATATGCAGGAAGAATGGTAGCCTATACAGCGATTCTACGGACGTAGCAAATCTGGTGTGACATATACGAAGACATTAAATTCGTTACACGATCGATTATTTATAAAAAGTATTATGGAAGCGTATACCAACTGTATTGCTTCCGCGTGCCTTCGGACACCGTATACGATATTTGAATGATATTTATTCTCTATGGACGTTATGTCGTTGTCATTATTTTCAAAATTAAATGCGCTCTCCAAATGGTATCTAAAGATCGACGTTAAATAGCATTGAACAAGAATATTTTGTGCTGTTAGTACATAAATACATAAATATGTGTGTTATACTTTGATTAATTGCATAGAATGAATACTTTGAGACAGGTGTGCTTAATGTATATATTTTTTCAATCTGTAAGAGCTAAAGATTAAATGTAATATTTAATTTTCGCGTATGTCCGCCGAACTTACTTGAGAGCCTCAAACAAACCACAACAATGCTGAACGCACACTAAATACAGGACGTTTATCGAAGTCAATACCAACGTATAATAAAATTCGCATAAAGCGCCCTGTATGAGGAGAGGCATGTGTTGTATTTGCAGGTCAAGCATGTAATTGATGTGACGACTCGATTCTTGTGAGTCCTGCGTTTTATTTGATATGTTTTCCTTATTGTAGGAAAATTTAATCGTCAAAGGTGTAAGCGCGAAAACTATGGCGTGGCCAAGTATAATACCTAAGAAAAACATCAGGTTTATAAGCACGAACAAATACGTAGTTACATGCGATTACATAAAATGTATTTGTACAATATTATGTTAAGATGTGCTAGAAAAATTAATATTACGTCAAGTGCACGAAGGAAAATAATTTCACTATCACAGCAATAAACTCATTGTTGTTACCGTGTGCTTAATGTGAAAGCGAACTTTGTTTTAATTAATTAATGCTTTATGTTACAGTAAGAACTGTTTTGCTGGCAACGTAGAAAAATCTTGCGGAGTAAATTTTTTTATAGCACGCGTTAATTTGCTGTTAAACCAGCAATCTGTCCGTTGCAAATAAACGGTTATGTTACTACACAAATATTGCTGGCAGAACGTCAGTACAAGAATAAGCAAAACGTGGAAGAATAGAAAAAAGGTGTAGAATAAAATTGCATACGTAAAATAATTTACAAATCTAAGAAAATTGTTTCGACAAATAAAATTAATTATCGTTTCTTTTTTTGCTGTCTATATAACGACTAATAAAATTTGTTACAACTTATACATGCTGCATTAGCGAATCCTTTCTTCTCTGTACGAGAGGTGCTAGGCAAAAATTTTTTTTCGAACAAGTATTAAATCTACATGAATTATTTGACTGCTTCTTGAAAAAGAGATATTTACAGAATTCAATTGAAATAAAAATACGCTATGTACTATGTAGCTCGTACTAGAAATGAAATATTCCAGATTTGTGTTCTGCGTTCCGATTATTCTATATTAATGTACAACAGAATCGATAAACTTACCCGAATAAATGTAGCCAAATTTTCGCGCAAACAGTACGTACGAACGCAATATCTTAGCCTCTTGATCCGACTTCGGAGAACACCAGTGTTCTTGCATATTCATGAGAAGCATTTTGATCTGTAAACATTTTGTCTTACGCTTTATTCTTAACTGCCACAACTGCTTCGTTATTTTGATTAAGACGACTCCTGGACATTTGGTCACTTTTATTTACGCACCTTAGGTAAATTGTACACCGTGTAGATTAATTTAATCGTTGACGATATGGCGTAAAATAGCATCGACGCGCAGTCGAATACCTCAAAGAAATCTGGCCAAACCCTAATCGTACACAATATCTGTGCGTTTGCCACAGATTAGAAAAATTCTAAATTTTATAGAAATTTTATAGGAATAATATATGTACATGTAAAAAAAATCATGTATTGCGATCTTCCCCAGTCAGAAATGACTTGTCGATCGACGTCGAAAGGATGTATCGACATGAAAACCATCATATTGACTTCGATTCGATATCGTTTCGACGTCGATCAAGTCATTTCTGACTTAGGCGAATCTTTGCTTCTCCTTCGTTGGAAAAGAGAAGGAAAGGAAAGAGGAAGATATCCGCAACGCATACGTTTTTTTTACATATCTGTACACAGTGCTTTGGACTAATTAAGCACTCGCGCTCTGCTTCTTTGTCTCTCTTCTAAGTACCGTAAATGAAATTCCAAATCCAAAGAGCAGCGTAAACCCGACGTACATCGCATAACGTTTGCTTAACGCTTGGAACGGCCATATACCGCACGCGGACAATAGAATGCGAATATTGCTATAGCACGACTTCCGAAAGAACTGGTCGACATGACGCATCTTTTCCCCGATCGCCGCTGCTACCTTGTGTGAACAAAATTCACATTCGACTCGCGGAGGATATAGATTACGTCGTTTGTTTTCTCATAAAAAATTCCGTTTAACGTCGATTGCCATGTGTAGCCGCACGAGCTGTCAACGTTTCTTCTATGAAACCACTACCGCTGCCGTTTACGATCGATTACGAAATTACAAAATTGCACGTCTATGCGATTGAAAGTAATATCTTTCTTGCGGGTTTTGCCGAGCACTGAGAGAAACAGTCCTGTGATACCTGTAAAAGAACTCTTATTGATTTGTTCTATATATTGGGTTTTCCGCACAGCGCGGAAATTCGTCCCGTCGATACTCAGCCAAGGAAATAATGCCGAGGCGATTAAAAACTCTGCTCGCATACATTTAGTTTATATATATATATTATATGTTATAAATATATACACTGAAAAAAATCTGGTTGCATTAATTAGAAATCTGGTAGATTCAAGCAGTCGTCCGTTAGAAAATGGACGAATTAGAAATTATTGTATATACCTGTAGTAAATGTTTTAGGGCTAGTTAGGATATCACATTTACAACTGTGAGATATTTATTAATAAGAAATATACATATACAGGGTGGG